CACAGAAAGTTGTTGACACAGAACAAGTTCGCAAAATTCGCGAAGATTATGAAAAAAAGCTAACCACAATGCGTGATGAATTCAGGAAGTTGCAATCCGTCGAACGAGAACATCGTCGAATGCAAGCAAAACAAGTTGCAGAACAGCAACAGCTTTTGCGATTGAGGAATGAACTAAATGAGTTGAAGAAAACAAAGGTAGATTTGTCGGAAATCGAAATTCGTCAATTCATTTTTTTTTGATTTTTAATATTTAGTTATCTTTGCTTCCTAAAGCTCCGGCTTCAAAAAATTTTGGTCGGCTTAAAGCGCATCAACTTTATGTGCCGACCGGGAACTTAATTTGTATTTATTGCAGGTTCAACTGATGCAGCGAATCAAAGAAGAAGCCAGACGTGCTAAAGCAATTGAATTAACAAACATGAAGAAACTAGCTGGTTTAGAAAAAGAATCTAGGTTGTTTTACAGATGTAATGTCAAGCTTCAATTCTCTGTTGCATTTACTAAAGTACTAATTATGTAAATGTTTTGCTTGTTGGTCCACTACATTATTTCATAATAATCTTTTGCTGTGCTTTCAATTCTGTAAAACTGTTCAATATAATAAGCTGTATTCATTCTAAAATAAAAGTTTCAGAAAGAAAGATAACTTAATCCAGAAACTTCAAAACAAAGATCGTCAACGAGAAGATTTCTTGAAAAGATCAGCCGATGAAGTTAATCGCTTACGACAGCAAGTCCGTCAGGCAAGTGGATGAGTGATTTGTATGCTGGATATGTATTCCATAAATCGTTTTGATGATGAAAAATGCAAGGATTATTTTAGCGTACTGCTTATGATCGTAAAACTGAACGAAGTGGAACACAGCGAAGTATGCGATCAACACAACTGCGTCATGGACGTGGTACAGTTCCTTTAACAAAGTTAGAAGTGAACAAAGCAAAAGCAAAGTGGATGGCTATTGAAAAAAATGTGAGTTTCCTAGGCTTTTTATTTCACTTTAATATTTCTGTCCAATAAATATATTTTCAGTTTATTGAAACATGTTTCGATCTCTTTCAATTACAGATACGTCGCAGAATCAGCCAGCGTCAAGCGATTACCAAGATGGAAGAAGAACTGGAGAAAATTGTAGCTGAAAAACGTATTTTAGCCGAGGAAATTCAACGGCTGGTGTGTCATATAGTTCTGAAATTTTCCAGAAGTTAATTTTGTTTTTCTTGTCAAGAGCATCGAAAGCAGCGCATTGAGGATTAAAGATTTTTACTGATATTGCTCGGTTACTCGCTTTTGCTTAATAAGTGGAAGGGGTCAGGAATCTAGTCTAAAATTTAACTAGTCTGCCAGCGGAACTGAGCAGACACATAATGTGGCTTTCTGAAGACATTGTTATGATCTACAATAAATTTTATATAATATGTTCGAATTCAGGAACAACAGTTTATCAAGGCAAAAGATCTAGCTGAAAGAGATCTTATTGGTGAACATATTGATGGTTGTTATGCGAAGATGCGTTACGTTCAAGAACAGTTTACCGAATTGCGGAATACAATTGCTGGTATCGACAATGAAAATACCAAGGTTAGTCTGTTTCGTTTTATTTCACTAAAATAACGCCTTTATTTCACTAAAATACTTTAACATGATTTCAAAAAGAAACACCTGTAAGGAGTGATTGTATGTTCTTTGTTTGCATGTTTCATCCCATAGCAGTTAGAAGATTCAAAATTATTATAATCAGTATTGATGATATGACATTTTTATTTTTTACGTCTATAAGCCAGTAGATTTTTTTCTGCAAATTTTTTTACTTATTTTGATTAAAAAATGTTTTTTTTTGTTTGTTGCTTTTTTTCGCCTTAACAGCTTATAGCTGAATTGAAGATGATATTTTTTTGTACGAATAACTAGTAAATGTTAGGCTTTTATTGCCTTGTAGCTCATTGTTCCAGTTGTGATCTGTGACAGGATAGTTTTAAGATTTTTTTTGTTCTATACTTTCTTAATAAAACAAATTCTGTAGTTGTTTTATTAATTGGATTTCGACTGTAAATGAATTTAAAGATTTTTTATCGTTTAGCTTTCTTTTTGCACTCGTTTGCAACTCAAACGACACTGCCTTTGGAATTGGAAGTAGAAAATTCAATCTTGCATTTTTTATTTGAGTTTCAAAAGCAACTTTTGTAGCAATGTCTTTTCTTAATGGAAATTTCCACCATATTCGAAGCCCCAATTCGTTTCTCTCACTATGATAAATTGATGCTCCTTTGTTTCTTGCAGAAAGCTTATCTATTTTCTGTTTCTGTTTCTTATCTGTGCGGTTTTTCAATTTCTAGTGTATTTGTTCCTAAAATACTTCGCCATTATGTCACATTCTGACATTTTAATAGCAGAATTTTATCTTATAAATGAATAAATCAGGGGTCTTAAGATTCTAACATGATCCCACATTCTGGGTCTTATTTATCAAAAACATAGGCCTAGTTTTAGTAAGATCGAACTTGATTGTGGTGTTAAAACAGCTTCAAAATTTTTATTTACAACGAAAAAAATTTTTGCAGGAAGTCATTAGTGACTTTATATTCACAACGAGCTCTGAATTTGTATATGAGTACAGAAATCTAGCGTCAGTCAAACTGCAAAATCAATAGTAAAAATTAAATATGACAAATTTTGGAAATCTTAAATAAGAAATAAAAATAAGATAAGACATCAAAGCAGACGAACTATTTTGGTAATAAGGGAAATATTCAGCATTAATGTACATTAACAAAATGATTGATGATGCAGCTGAGAAACAAATTGTTAATTATGACTTATGTCGGTATGCTTAACGGTAAAAGTTCTGTAGTCAATGCTTAAATTTCAGAATTTATAAAGAGGCCCTCTCGATTTCCATAATGATTTTTGTATAACAATTTCTAAATAGATTACAGGTACAAATGTTCGTCCTCTATCCGTTCCTATTGCCTCATCCTGTGAAACAGACTATGAAATCTTAAACTAACCAACGAAGCAGGTAAAAACCGTACTATAAACCGATAGAAAGGTAAAAACAGTAAATGCGTGGAAGGATAAGTTAATGATCTAGTTTTTAATCCAATTAAATTTTCGATTTTCCTGCCAAAACGTCTTGAATTAAGTATTGTTGGACATTATCAAAGAGCGAATGAGTGTAGAGGGGGGAGGAGGGGAAGGATAACAAGGATTTTTTCACTGATTTCCATTCTTTCAGCTAATTGGTAACGTTATATGTAGGTAATTGAAAGCAGCTTCGTTTTTTTTTTGTTTTCAAGTTAAAATTAATCATTTCTGAAAACAGTTTTGGGTAAATTGGCTCATTTTGTCATCGTGAAAAAAGAACGCCTTTTCTGAGGTGATTATATACGTTTTAGAATTTTTTCAGAAAAGAAATGTTAAATAAAAAGTGAAAAGTCCTTCTGTTTGATATTACTTTTCAGTTATATTCAAATGACTGCTTTTTCTACTATCATTTTTTACGACGGGCGTTCTATCTTCACCTCGATTATTTTGAATCTGTTTACTCCATTCCTTAAACATTGGGTACAGGTGATGGAGTTCTTTCAGCCATCGCGGTAGGTTCATCTTTGGGTATTGAATTTAGAAGTTGTTGCGAGCTGGTACTTCCACTTTCTTTTTGATTCAAATTGCTCTCACACATCGATTTCCTGGGTATCTTCACAATAGTTGAACGCCGGACTGCTAAATTTGGTATGATTACTTCCGAAGGTGATCTGAAATGCGTAGGTATAAGATTCGAAAATTAAGGGTAAATTCTACTTCATTTTTATTTCTCTCTTTTATGCAGTCAAAACGATGAGTTTTCGATTGGTAATGGGGTTTTTCAATCTTCATGACAACGAAGTTTTATCCCGAAAGCATAAAATTTTTGACTGGGCTAGGAATACTTAATCACCAGGACTTCGGATTATTCCTTGCTAGAGTCCTCGGTGATATAGCATTTGCACGGTTGACATAGTCCTACATATAGCCTTTCTAGACGAAGTTCATAAGAATATCTTTTGATTGAGCCGAATCTAGGAAGTTTATATGTAGAAAAGCTCGACTGCGTATCTTGACAGGATGTAATTTTCGAGAATATTCCTTTGCTTTGAAATTAACTATTTCAAATTTGTTTTGTCATGCCATGTTTTTCTGAAGAACTTACTGAATTTCTTCTGTTTAATAGGATTTTCTTACAAAATCTTAAATAAGAAGGCAAAATTGGGTTGGTTAACCTTGAAGCAAAAATAGGACGTATTTCAATAAATTATAAAAAAAATGAACTGTTTAGCCTTTCGCATTATCTGTGCTGCAAGTGTAGCAAAAAGCAAGGCACACAGTGCTGCGCCGGAAGCAAATAGCAATTTTCTCCACTGAACGTCTTGACTAAACCCTGTTAGCCATATGCATATGCTGAAGCTGAGCACTGATCCAATTATGCAGAGGAAAAGCTTAAAAATCGTAATTTACTTTATCACTAGTAAATATGGGAAAACAGACAAGTTTATTTGAAATAGGGATCTCATTTTTCTTTTGACTAAATTTTCAATTCAGTTTTGGGATTAGTTCTATTTCTTGATTGAGTAAAAACAATTCAGTTTGGGAGTTGAATTATACTTTAACTTTCAGTTCGAAGTTTTTAGTCAGTAGATAAAAAAAGAATTGGGCACAAGCAGCAAATAATTCCTGAGTTCTGAGTTATATATTTTATCAACTAAATAAAGAACTTTACTTTTTTGCGAACTTGTAATAAAAGCGTTCAATCAAAAAATAACCTGTCCACCCAATGAAGTTCTGCTTGCTCGTTTCTGCGTGCTGATTACACTTTGAAACGGTATTTTTATGCTTGAGTGACTGCCACGTCCTTCTCTGCATTGGTTTTGCTAGAATAAACAGGATAAAATGGTTGAAACTATTAAATGTTTGCAATATTATAGCGTAAGAGGATAAATCTCTTATATAAGAAATCTTATCAATCTATGTATTATAAATATTGATTTTTTGGATTTTTTTTAAAAAGGAACTTTTGAATAGGACGGGTAAAGATAAATTGTTAGTTTAAAAAAATTCCCAATTTTTAAATCACTAATTTTAGCATCTGCAAGTTGAAGCATAACTTGATTTTGGATGAAGTGTATGTGGGACAAAATATTAGCTGGAAGTTATATCTCTAGTGTTATTTTTTTCAGAAAGGCAGTACACAAATTTGGTTTTAATATCACTTGAAATTTTTAAATATTAATTTCGAAACGAGGAAAAGAATAATACTTTTACTGAAATACTGGATCTTTGGTGTTCTTGAGACATAGGAGGCTTTTTACTGTTGTTCGTGTTGGTCTCGCTTCAAATACATCTGCAATTGCTAACGTTCTTTTTTTGGTGATCTGCAATAATGGATTCGAAGGATTTATATGTAATAGAATAAATCCAGCAACCTATATGCATATGTATTTATGCAATTTTTGTAAATTAATATGCAACAGCATAAAGTATAATCTATCCAGCTATCATCGATCCTGTTACACAATCGCAACTTTTCTATGGTGATAGAAAATCGCATACCAGGTGATAGGATGAATGCTTCACAGAAAGTCCACTTATCAAGTCTCTCAACTTCCTTTTTTGCCTCCATATTAAATAATGAAACAATTAACTGGAATCTTCCAAATCTTTCTGGGAAATTATGATCGTTAACAGTTTTTTATGGTTATATGAATGTGGGAACCTTAAGTTATAATGTATCTTTTTTTCAGACATTTCAAAGTGAGTTAGGATTTTTCTATTTTTTGAATCATCATTAGTGAGGTCCAGTATTTCTGGTTACAGAAGTAATTGTTTGACAATTTGAATTGATTGAAAATATATTCAACAGTGAGAGGATCAGAAAAAAACACAACTTTCTAAACTATTTTTCAAAGGTGAATATAACGGGACTACTTATTTCTCAAGATTGACGTTCTAAGTTTTCTTGATTAAATGCAGATATATTTAAAATGATAAAAATAAAAAGGAAAAAAAGCGTAGATTTCCTGGAAGGCCGGAAATCGAAAATATATTATTTTTTCCTGGGACATCTAGAAGAAATTTTTTTTCAAATATGG